AATTTATTTTCTATTATGCAGGTAATTTCTCTTTTCATTTCTTCTTGACATGCTTCAATCTTTTCTTGACCAGCTTGAATGGCTTTCATTTCGTCCTTAATGGATTCCTGGCCACTTCCATTACCTCTTTTAACAGAGTTGAAGGCCCCTTCCATCTTTCCTTGGCTAGATTTCATCTCTTCTTTCATTTCTTCTTTAAACGAGGCAAAGGCTGTTATCAACTGCCTTTACTGCTCTGCCATCGCTCTTGTTATTGGCATTCAAACCCCACTCCTGACACCAAAAATTGTTGCGTGAGTACGGATTCGTTACGAAATGAATGCACAAGTCCGATGAAAAATGAACAAAAATTTATTATTATCACAACAAAAATGCTTAAATTTTCTCAAATTATCATGCAGTAGTTATCTTTTAACTACTCAAATGTCCAATAGAACGTAATTCAAAACAACTAAAGAACGCTAATCCGCGAATTCGCTACAATCAACAAGAGCAGTTTCTAAACAAACAACAAACTAAGCAACTACTACAAACTGAGATGTTTTCCTCCTTTTATAAGATTTTTTTAAAATCACGCGCTAGAATTTTCCAGTACTTTCTCGAAATCAAAAAAAGAGATATTATTTATTTAATGCACGCGCTCTTGTTTTTTTCATTTTCCGGCTTAGCTTTCTTTATATATCGTCACGCGCTGCACCTGCGCGAGAAATAAAACCATTTTATTTATAATTGAACTAACATTAGCTTTTTAAATGCCAAATTCGTAACAATATGCAGTGAAGTTATTGTAACTTGGTTGGCTATTGCTATTCTGGTTTTTGGTGGTTTGATTGTAATTTGAAGCAGCTTGTGAATAGCTTTTGCCTTGAGTGTGTGTAGTTGTTTGTGAAGTTGTATTTTTTGGAGTAAAAAGTGAAATTAGGTGAACTGCGATTATTTCTATGTGTGTTTCCAGGTGTAGGACAATCTGATGTTTTATGATTTGTTGCACATTTAACACATCTTCGTAGGAAAAAACAATTATCTGATGAATGGTGAAATCTTTGGCAGTTGTGGCATTGTGGTGTGATGTTTTTGGTAATGTATTTTTCTATCGTGTCTTTGAACATTCCTAAATGGGTTTCACTGTAAATTTTTTCGATGTTTGGTGTTTGCATGAGTTGTACTTGAAATAGTGGCATGGGTTGTTTGGATTTAAAACGTGTTAATTGAACTACTTTGTAGATTGTGTAGCCTAGATTTGTAAGTTCAGTTGAAATTTCGTTCGTGTCTGTTGTAATAGGTAGGCCTCTGATAACTACTTTTATCAGTATTTTATGGCTTGGGTGTAATGACATAGTGTTCTATGTTGTGTGCTTTAAATCTAATGTTAACTGTCTGTGATCATCTGGTGTGCATGGTAGTAATTTGAGATATTCACCGCTGACTTTTCCATAGAATTTAGCTTGTGTGATAGTAGAAATGTTTTTGAGATACTGGTTGTAAGTGGAGCCATCTTCCGGCTTAATCATAACTGGTGTTTGGTTGTTATTATTTTCCTGACTGTTATTGGGTGTATGGGTGTTGTTAATTATGATGATTAAGTGGTGTTATTACTAGTATCTGGGTGTGTGTTGGGCTGGGATAGAACATTAAAACTGTTTTGTGTGGTAACTACTTTGGTGGCAAACTTTTAGGTACTTTAGCTGGTTTAGCAGGTATTTGAAATCCATCTGAGTCTCTTTCGTTGTCCGAATTTTCATTTTGTTTGCGTTTAGAATTAGCGGGTGGGTAAATGTAACTTGCATGGGAGAGAGCAAAATTTAACTTACCCCTCAGCATATCCAGGTCTTTCTTCTGTTTTTCGAGATCTTTTCTCATAACTTCTGAATGGTAGTCTCGATCAGTGACGGGTCTTCCGATAGTGCCTTGAGTAGCTTAACAGTAGCTTGAATGCTAACTTCTGTTGCCCTAATTTCCTCTCTTAGCGTAGCGATTTCTGCGTCCATGAGAGCATGGTCGTTGTCCTGGTCCATTTCCGTGGCCGCCGTATTCGAGGTGTCCGATGCCGGATCCGTGTCTTTATCTGGTGGAACCGCCTCGCTTTTAGGAGTCTGCTTAGTACGTGCCATCACGACGAGTAACGCTTTCGTTAAAACGAGAAAATCTATTTATGCATCCATATGAAACATAAGCTAACATGCTTCAAAAAAAAAAAAAAAAAGTTACATTTGCAGACTTCCTTGCACAAGTCACAGGTATACTCACAAAGCCTACAGACCATTTCGCTACTGGCTGCTCTCATTGCAGGAAACATCTGCTTGGCGGTCATATTTGGAATAACGAGTTATCGCCCTGTAGGCGTGGTAATTAATGCCAAACAAACGGAAACAGCGTTTATTTCATTCGATATTTTTTTAGTTTATGAATGCGAGCTTAGAGAAATTGTGTGGAACATATTTTAAATAACCTACTGATCTTATTAATAGTTTATTTGCATTTGAATTTAAACTTTTAAAAATATGTAATTGTTTTACAAGAAAAAGGTGTTTACTTGGAGATAGCATATGCACCTTTTCATCATTTCTGTTAGAAAGAGTCTGTTGTGTAAATTTCCTTAATTTATACAAATAAAGGAATATTAAAAAATTAACCAAATGAAAACATTCAGTAAACATTTAAGGGCGTCGGATACCTATTCTTTTTACTTAAATTATGAGTAAGTATAACTAAAATTATATTTTATTCCATTTTGCGCTATTTTTATTGAAACGCCTTTCGGGATCTTGGATCGTAGTCTTGCTACTGGTACCTACTACAAAGAGTACAAACCAGTAAATAAAAATAAGAAAGATTAACATTAACAAAAATAGAGAAAATAAAGGCGTTTAATTTTTAACACCGCACCCGATTTAAAAATAAATCCGTTTATGAAAACTATCCTTTTAACCTCCTTGGTTCCACCCAACGACTTCATATAACAGGTAGACGGCTCACCCACAGAGAATTCGTCTGCTAGGGTGTCTCCAACATACACCACGTGACTAATGCTGTTGGCGCTCTTGGGGGAGTGATAGCTTAGGCTGTTCATCGCCAGTTGGCCAGCTTTGATATGGCAGGTAGTATTTTTATTTCCGTCTGCTAGCAGTCAGCAGACAACGGCCTCGAATTAGGTTGTTCGATTTTTTACAAGTATATTTAGATATAACTTAACCCCTTTTTTCCTGAATATTTTATCTATATTTTTAATATTGCTTTAAATTATTTGCACCATTGTTTAAGATGTTTATGTTAAGTAATTTAGGAAGAAAATCTAAAATAAATAATAAAAAATTGAGATGGAAACTTTAATTTTGAATAACGTTAAAAAAAATTAATTGCAATACTGTTATAATATTTGAGAAGGTAAAAAAAATCTCGTTTATTTAATTTTAATGCATTGCATTCTAAGAGAAAAAGAAAAATCACATTGTATTATATGTATTTATGCCCATTGATTGCCTTTCTTTTCTTGAGATTATATTACTGGAACAAAAAATAATGCAATCTTAATTACTGATTCCACACTCATGTGTATGTCATGGGGGGGGGGATCAATACATCTTATTAACTATAAAAATTATTTATATTGAATATGCATCAAACGGTAACAAAACTTCAACTCAGTATTTATTATTAGGATCAAAACGAGATTACAGTTAAAAATTCTCTCTCTCTCCTTTTTTTTAAATACTATTTAAAATATGGTAGTTTTTCACATCGCATTTTTTTTTCAATTACAATAAAATTTCTAACAGCATCGTAGATGAGACAGAATTATAATCCAGATTATTTTTATTTTATTGATTTTATAGAAATAATGATAAAGCATTGAGCTTTATAAAAATCAGATTACTTTTATAAAGCTCAATGCTTTATCTTCATTATTTTAGAAAATAATGATTAAGCATTGAGCTTTATAAAAGTAATTCTGATTTAAAATAATTGCTGTTTAACTGTTTAGGTTCAATGTTGCATGAATCAAGATGCTTTTTTTTTTAACAAAGTAAACATAATCGCACAATCTTTTCTCAATAATTTAATGCTAATAATAGCGTTTTTTTTTTTTTTTTTTTTATCGCAGGCATAATTGTTTATGAATCAAAACGCGTACGACTTGGCGAAAAAAGGTTAACGCCAATTGGCGCAGCTTTCTATTTCAACGGAATACACGGAAAAAAACAAAAAACATATAAAATTCAATTATTGTAAAGGGTGATTCCAGTAAATAGTGTCACAGTATTTAATCATTTTGATGCTAATAATACATGCTGAAATGTCATATATGGCGGCAACTTTCTTATACAGTATGCTGAAACTTTCCAACCAATTCAACAGAGATAGTAAAATGACAAAATACTGAAATAAAATAATAAATCAATAAATCATGCAGTTTTAACTTACCTATGAAAGGTTACAAGTCTCCTTTCACGAAACTTTCTTTACATCCGTAGGCGCTGAAGCGAATAACCATTTTACTTAAATTTTATGTGACCAAGCAGAGCAGCAGTCTTTCGTCCCATAGAAAGGCATGTAAAGTATTTCCGCACTTTCGGAATTCGCGCAGCAGTCACGTGACACTAATGTTGGAACCGGTTGAAGGTTGCAATACGCTCTCTACCAGTATATTATCTCGTTGGTTCCAACACCATTTTTTGTATTCTCTTTTTACGCGCTAGGTTTTGTTAAGACTCCAATATACTAGAGGGTCCCTGGAGGAGTTTGTTTTGACGAAGCATGCGTTTTTATTTTTTTTTCGGACAAAAAAAAATTTTTTTTTTAAACATTGAAGTTTTCTTTCGCATGTAAAGGAAATGTATCTAGTTTTAAATTAAATTTCTTATTTGCTAGTTCATATAAAAACAGCAATTATGTTCACAAACAAATTCTTACTTTCCTTCATTAAAATTTATTGAAAAACTGCAGAATGCAAAATAATGATGTAGAAATTCGAATGGATATTGTGGCACTTCCGGCGGAAATAATGGTGAGACGAAGTTGCGTCCGTTTTTAAAGGAGATTTAAAGGGGGATATGGGTTTAATTTGGAATATAAAATTTAATATTTGTAATTTTGAATTGCTTTCATAGCGAGAACCAGTATGCCTTTAGCGCATCTGAAAGATCCTTTTACTGAAGCTGATATGAAAACCACGAAAGTAAGATGCAATTCTTTTTGTTGAAAACTTCCGGCTGCTGTCAAAATATTTCAGAAACTTAGAATTTTGTTAATTTTCCTTTCACAAAATGTATTTAACGGCAAGTTATTGAAACTATCGAATGCGTTCTGTATTAGGAATTAACAGCGAGTCGATACATGCGTTGTCGTGCTTGCTATTCATTATTTTTGGTGAAAAGAAGCACTTAAAATGTATGGTGGATTAACAGTTTCGTAGTAATTAGTGTTTCACAATATGAATTAAGAAACGCACTGAGTCGTATTATTTAATATCCTCATTTTCTTTTCTGTGTTGTTTGTTTATCCGTTTGTCTATCGAAGCATGTCTTCACACTTGATTTAATTTCCTAATCGTTAGAACTGAGGAAAGTAAATAATGTAGGTCATCAGTAGTATTTCATTATTTTTCATTCCCCAAACAATTTTATTCTTGAAGCATTGCATAAAATATAGTATCCTAAAATGATTGTATGCTAACTATTAAATCTATTAATGCTAATTATTAAAATCTTGTGAAAAGCTTACATGTAATTTTTAACTGGAATACAATTATATAATTTATACAAGATAAAAATAGTATCAAAACGTTATGCAAGATAAGCATAAGTAATGAGTAATGTAAGTTTCATATTATCTTGTTGTTTTTTATTATCTGTTTTATGAAAGTTTTATATCTGTTTTATGAAGTTATATATATATGTAATTAAATATGTAATAATTTATGCAAAATAAATTATTACAGATAATATTATTAAGGTGTTAATATTATTACAGTGTCCTTCCACTGAAGACATGGTAGTGGATGAACAGAATGGCTATTGTGAGGTGAGCTGTCAAATTTTCTTAATTAAAAGTGCATATTGTATGTGTGAAGTCTTCAGATTCTTGAGTTTAAAAAATAATTAAATTGCATGCTGTTTATGTAAGTTGTTTGAAATTTAAAGATGAGGTTACTGTTTTCATATAAAGACTTCTGTTATTATAAGTAGCCATTTTCTAATTAAGTTCCTAGGAGCTTTGCAATAAATATTGAAATGAAGAAAAAGTTTTAATATATGTCAACGTTAAAAACATGAATTTAATTTTCAGTGCAATAGTTTTTCCTAATTAAAATGTTTGTTTTGATATATCCCTAGTTCTTGTATGGTGGTGCTTTGTGCTTCACCAGGGAGTCAACATATTGTACTATAATTTGAGAAAAATCAGGTACACCCATGGGCGAGTGGTTAAGATCGCTGAATATTGGTAGTTAAACTTAGCTTCGTTTAAAACATAGGCAAATGGGTTAGCTGCATGGTTGTCTTCCCTCAATGTGTAATGTGAATACCAGTAAGTTCCCTTAGAATGTCCTCCACAAAGCCATCTGTCCTCTTATGTAGGTAGCCCATGTGGCTTCTGAAAGAAATCATTGGCTATCACAGTCCATGACCTTCATTTAAATCTTCTGCTCTTGAAATTTTTGATATAATCTATGCACAGTGCAGTATCTAGACTTTTTCATAGACTGTTATTATAATTTGTGGTGAATTTCCATTGTGGCTGATCTTTGGAATATGGTAACAGGTAGTTTGGCGACATTTTGGAGGCGATAAAGGTTACTACCTAGGACTTTGGGAATAATGTAAGAAGTACTGAGTTCCGATTACGCATTATTTTGTGTGAGGCAAATGAGAGATCATGAGATGTGCCATGTGACGTTAATGGACGAATCACTGTTCTTTAATCGGAAAAAAAAAAAAAGTAAAAAAAAAAAAAAAAAAAAAAAAAAAAAAAAAAAAAAAGGGAAAAAAAAAAAAAAAAAAAAAAAAAAAAAAAAAAAAAAAAAAAAAAAAAAAAAAAAAAAAAAAAAAAAAAAAAAATTAGGGGTAAATTTGTAAAAATATCTGCTGTACAGCATTAGTTTCATTCTATGTTTCTGTGAGACAGTGTTGTTTAATATTTGGATTCCCATGGCCCTATATAAAGTAAATCCAAAATTTTTATTCCATTTATGTGTAATTGAAAAGAATTGCTTAATTGCGGAGATAAGTATGAATGTCCAACATGTGGGTATGAAATGAGATGTGTGAAAGGAAGGATGTTACCGATAAGTTTGAATGGTGGTGCAAGAAAGAAATCTGGGTGAAAATGGACTTTTGTGATCTGCCATGCACTCAAGATTCTGTAGAAGATTAGATAAGTTAGTATTTTTTAATTATTTGAGGATATTATTTTTATGCATTGTTCTAAATGTAAGGAGTAAATAAATTATATTGGTATTATTGGAAAATTGTTATTAGCAATGATTTAGTTTTAAAGTAATTAGGATTGTAAACTAATTTTATTTTATTATTTAATGTATGTGCTTATTTATATTTTAAGTAGTGTTTTTAATTTAATTATTTTTTAATTTAATGATCGTGATTTGAGAGTTATATGTTTGTAGTATTTGGAATATTTGTGTAGAAGTAGAAATAAGTAAATGTGCATGGAAAGAATTTAAGTATTTGACACTAAGTATTTGGAACCATTTTTAATGTTTGCGTTAGAAATTGGTAGGTGAGGTTTATAATAGATAATTTAGAGGTAAAAGTTTTGGATATTTTTTATTTTTATACGTGCAAATGTTCATCCTTGGAAAGGGTATATACTTTTTTCGCGATCAGGTAATTTCATATATGTCCTTTTTACCGAATTTAAAGATTCACAAAATTTTCATGCATTTCGTGAAATTTTCTAATTATGAGAGAAAAAGCAGTGTACATGGATATAGTGAAGAGTGTGCTCAATGCCATTTTTGTGCAATTCTGGGATGTTTTTTTAAGTAAAAATAAGTCACATGTACATGGTTTAATTTATATTTAATTAAATGATAGTTATTTTGTGAGTTATATGTTTTGTAGCAATTTGGTATACGTTTGAGTGGAAGTAAACGTGCATGGAAATAATTTAAATATTTGACACTAAGTATTTGTAACCATTTTAATGTTTTGTTATGAATTCGTGGTGAGGTTTATAATAGATAATTTAGAGGGTAAAAGTTTTTGGATATTTTATTTATATTATACGTGGAAATGTTCATCCTTGGATAGGGTATATAATTTTTCGCGGTCAGGTAATTTCATATATGTGCTTTTTACCGAGTTTAAAGATTCATAAAATTTTCCTGCATTTTCGTGCAAATTTTTGTAATTTATGAGAAAATAGCAGTTTAGAAGGATAAAGTTAAGAGTGTGCGCAATGCCATTTTTGTGCAATTCTGGGATGTTGTTTTAAGTAAAAATAAGTCGACGTGTACATGGTTACTGTGAATGTGCAATTTTGAAAAACGCGGCAAGGAGTTTGCAATTCTGCACTTTTTCTCAATTTTGCAGTTAATACAGTCAAAAGTCGTTAATTCGGACACCCATAATCCACAATGATCTATAATCTGGACCTTAAAGCTACAAACTTTCTGCGCACGCGCATAGGCGTTTACGTGTGTGCGTAAGACCTTTACGGCTACACAAAATATTTTAAATAGCGGCAATTTTTATATGCAAATCCAAAATAACAAGTTAAAGAATCGCACAGACTCTGTATCCATGTGCACATCAACCTATTTTCACTTAAAAAAAAAAAAAAAAATATGAGAACTGCACAAACTAGGCAATGCGCTTTTCCTTGACTTTGTCCATGTACACATCAATCTGTATTCCCTTAAAAAGTAAAAGGAGCAGCCAACAAAAAATATATAATCTCGATAAACTACATTTTAAATCAAATAATGAAATAACATAAAAAAGGAAATTTATCTTAGCACTATACAAATGAAATATCCACTTACCTTATTTACAAATTTCCATGTGTTCAGTCAAACAAAATTCCTTAACAGCATCCAAAAACTTCCTAAAATTATCTGAACTAGAATTTGTATACTGGCGTTGCCACATAAATTCACAAAAATTAGAGTAAAAAAATATCCTCCATAGTGTCTGTATCTTCCAATGTTCGACCACACGCATTTCCTTTCTATAAACAAGACACTTATGATGGCTACTTAGTAAACCTTAATTTACACACCAGTCAATGCTGCTTTCGCTTTTGTTCCAAATCGTACAGAAACTTCAAATTAATCTTGTCACATTCAGCCATTTTACCATGTAAACCACAAAATAATAATGTACTTCTTATTGAAAATCAGACACACAAACAAGCTTTTCCAAATCTTTTCCCATCATTCAAATTCTCTGCAATTACACAATCAATTACGTCATAATAAGGTTTCCATAGCATTCAACTACTTAGGTTATCATAAATGAATGAAACAACAACTTAGGGACAATCCAAGTGTGGCACCCTTAAATCTACTCTAATGAGTTAGGGTATTCTTCTCTTATTGGACCAATATTCAGAAGTGTTTGTATGTATGCATGTGCATATGTATGTGTGTGTACATACACACATAGATGCACATACACATATACACACATATATTTGTAAATATGGTCCCGATAACAGAAGAGTACCATCTTTGGAAATGATTCCGATCCCAAAGTTAATTCTCATTTGACCTATTATTATTGGACAGTGATTTGCATTTTACTTAAATGAATTCATAGACGAGTTTTATTTACAATTTATATGTTTCATATTATGCAAGCATACTACTTAATGTGATCACATTTGCCTGTTGCTATTTTGGTAATACTGAGTGATAATGATGAGAAAATATCAATGGAATTTAACTAATAATTTAATGTAATGTACTAGAAGCATATATAAATATTTACCTTCACTGACTTTACTAAGGAAAATGTCATTAATAATAGATTTTTTGTAATTGTTATGCAGAAGTCCATTTATGAACTATTTATAACATTTCTGGAAATTATTTTATTAATAGTTCATATCACCCTTCATCATAACATCTTGGGGCGTTATCTGTAATCAGCATTTGTAGGAAATTTACCAGTTCACAGCAAATCAATTCATCTGATACAGGGTGTTTGTGCATTTTGGATTTTATTCACCATTCATCTAACCTTCAAGGTTTTGTGCCATTAACCCCTTAACAGCCGCGGGCGTATATATACTCCTTGCTCAGCCGATGCGTTAACTGCCCCAGGCGTATATATACGTCCTTCCAAACTGCTATCATTTGCTTTGCGCTGCTACACCTAAAATTATTCGCCAAGTTAACGCATCGGCTGCGCATCTGGGGCAGTTAACACATCGGCTGAGCAAGGCATATATATACGCCCGTGGCAGTTAAGGGGTTAAAAGTCAACCAACCAACCATCATCTCTTATGCATCAAAAAATCTGAGACTAAATATAAGATCTGGACCATGTGATGCCATTCTAGTCATTGATGACAGTATACATCTATCTGCATATCTGGAATTTATATGTATTTTGGGTATATTAGTCAAGCAAAAATAACGATCAATTTAAATTATTTTTAGGTTCCCACCATTGCATTGGAATTGCAATATAACGAGTTCCATTTATTTACCTGTTGAGCCCGTAGTTACATATGGAGTATAACAGATGTATCCATTGTTGACACTGGTTTAGTTTGAAATTAATTTTTTTTTAAACGAAAGTGCCAATGTTAGTAATGCTGAGAAATCAAAAGTAGTTTTGAAGAAAAGTAATAAAAATCTGTAAATGATAGAAAAAGTCTTATTTAACTTCTGAAAAATATATGAGAATCAGCATAAACTGTACATTAACCCAAATCACTTAATTGATAAATAAATACATTGCAATTTGTTAAAATTATTATTTTAAGCAAACTCGCCAATGGCTTAGTAATAAAGTCAACTGAACACTGGTAGTTTTGACCTGGTGATAGTTTGATAACAGGAAAATGGGCTGGCTGTGTGGGTATTTTTATGAATTTTTGCATATGTATTGTGTATATGTTAGAATTTCCATTAGAAAGTCCTTGTCGAAGATACGGCGCACCAGGGTTATTCCTTAAGCACATAACCTTAATGTGCTTTGTTATAATGAAAAAAACCCAACCCAACCAAGTAACAATGTGTTTTAAATATTTTAAGAAATAATTTGAAAATCGGCAAAAATATTTTATGTACGTAGTTTATATAAAAAATTGTAACAAATCTGTTGTATCTTATTTTGTTTTTACCTCATTTTTATCAGAATCCAAAACTGGAAGCTGCTTCTGCTAGTGAAACTATTCATGAAATAGAAGTTATAAATGTAACTAAACATGGATATCCTAAAGCTGATCCTCGACAATTTTCTCTGATCAAACTTCTTGGTCAAGGCTCATTTGGGAAGGTAAATTTAAATTTTGAAATATTTTTGTGTCTTATTTCTTTACTTTTTCATTTCATTTCTTTTGAAAGGGGGTATTCTTTATTTCTTGAATTTTTCAGGAATTTGTTGATACTACTATATATACTAAACCGGATTGGATTTTGTTACAAGTGAATTTAAAAAATAATCAGGCATCAGGTTTTTTACTGCATATGATTCTTTGATGTCTTTTATTTATTTTTAAATTAAATTTATTGTTTTATATTTATTAAATGAAATGAAATAAATGGGCAAATAAAAAAAAAGAGTATTTTAACACATATCAGAGATCAAATAAAGTCTGAGAATTAAGAAAGCTTCATAATTTATTTATTGGATTCAAATTTTTATGTTATCACTGAAAATTTAAACATTTATAATATCAAACTGGTATTGGAAACTTTCTTTCTGAGGAGACCTATTTCATTTACAATAGTTTCTAAAAAATGTAACTAATCTCTAATTCTGTTGACCATTTGTATTTGTTTTTGGTAATACATTCATTGGCAACCAAAAAAGTACATTCAATATGAACCAAATAGTTTTAATAGTGGCTATCATATCTATCAAATGTTTGAAGTTAATGGTATTATTGCGAGTCAGCTCAAAAATGCTAAATTGAGCGAAATTCCAATATCTATCATAACCTTCTAAGTTTAATTTTTATAGACTTTTCTTTTATAGTTAAATTTAATTGTCTTTATAGTTTTTTTTTTTTTTTTTTTTTTTTTTTTTTTGATGTGTTAGTTGAAGTGGTTTTGTGTTAAAACTATTTTTGCTGTCTTTAAAGAACTTGTTAATTATTTCCTTGTTGTCTCATAGATTCTATCTCTGAGAGCAACTGTAAAATAACCTTTTCTGGTTGGCATATACTTTAACATCATATAGTGCTTCTTCTCATTTTTAATTTCAATGAAAAGCACATTGAAACTAATTAATTTTTTATTTGAAATTAACAATGAAGTAAAACTAAAGATAAGTTACTAAGTAAAACTTAGTAACATATCTTTAACAGTGAAATAAATCTGCTTTAAAAATTGAATGTTATTTAACTGTTAGTTTTATTAAAACTGCAAATAAAAACGTTTCTTATGCAATTAACCATTTTAAATCTGTATTCAATAGTTACCAAAACAAGCTGTAATCTGCCAGCAAATACTTCAGCATTTTTTACGAAAATCTTTTTTCAAAAGTTTTTTCTCAGTTTTTTTCACATATTACCTATATCTAAATCAGCTGGTGCTTTTCATGTTCATATTTTAATAATTTTTCTGCTATCATTTGAAATCAGTTTCAAAGACTGAATTTTGAAAATTCTTAATAATATTCATGTCGATTTACAACCCTTGCATCCATTAATTAAACTTTTCCATGGATAGCAATTTACACTTATAAATCCAGTGCAAAGCTCTATATGCTGTATTAAATATTTATTTACTTTACAATCAAATTTTCCTAAAGTATTTGTCATAATTCAGTTACTTATTTCCTCATATATTTTAGGTCTTCCTAGTTAAGAAACTTACGGGTCCTGATGCAAATACTTTTTATGCTATGAAAGTTCTTAGGAAAGCTACTCTAAGAGGTATTTTTGATAATTAATTCATCAAAAGTTATAAAATTAAAGTCATCAAATGCATTTTTGTATGATTTTAAAACTGCTTTTTTAAATGAAGTATTTTTAATTGTTAAAATATTTAATTTTAAATCACTTTTAACACAATATATTTCTGAATCGGTTATATAATCAAGGAATGGTTTCTAGCTAATACATTTTGATAGGCTAGCAAAATATGATTGTAATAGTTAAATAATCCCTTAAAAGCAAATTTTTCTTTGGAAATGGGAGATCAGAATGAGAAATCATACATTTGTCATCGCCTTATAATTTTCGTACCATGGAAAAGTTACATTTTCTATTAATTTTCTTCATGCTGTTAATATAAAAGGAAATTAACATGGTTAAAAAAATGCTTTATAAAAATCCAGTTACTGTAGCCCAGGGCTGTTTTATTATATATGAAGTGTACTTGGCACGTATGCATTAGTGCTTCGATCTCAGTAATCCATTTTTTTACACTAAAATTTTTATGTATTAAATTTATTTAATGTTATCTTTTTCACTTAAAGTGATCATGAAACAAACCAAATAGACAACAGATAAACATTTGAAAAGCATATTTAAATATGCTAATATACAATTAATACAATTTCGGTAATATTTAAGTGAAAAAAATTCAAATTTGATGCAAAAAATTTAGATTCCCCCAAATACTCCTTTTGTCTACAGCATATATATAGGCACAATATTATTAGAAGGCCACATACTTGAGATTCAAAATTTCATCTTTATATGAAAGAAAGTACAGTATGAAGTCCGTCATCCGGACTCGTCGGGACTTCGGCAATTCTGTATTAGGGGTGATCATCAATTTAAATCTGGTAAGATGGCATGGCATGCAGAAATTATACAATTAAAAATATGAAACCGTAATTTATGAAATAAAGAGCAATTATGATCTAAAGGGTATCAACATTTACAAAAAAAAAAAAAAAAAAAAAAAAGCTTAATGTTTATTTGTTTACTTTATTAAACATTTCTTTCAATGTAAGTTGTTTAAGTTGCTTCGTTTTTTGTTCTAATACTTTCTCTTTATTTCTCTCTTCTATAAACAGACATAATTTCTTGTTCAGTTACAAAGTTCCACTGTTCAAATCTTGTAATTGCTGTGTCGAGAATAAAGACTAACTTGTCAATCGAATTTTTTTCGTTTTCAATAACCTCTCTGTCACTTTCTTTACTATCGGAAGCGCGCATGTATAAATGCTTTACTGGCTTTATGCGCATGCGTAGGTTTGTGGCTTTGTGGTCCGGATTATAGATCATTCCGGATAATGGACATCCGGATTACAGACTTTATACTGTACATGAATTAGCAACCTTTACAAGAATTTCAACCTTTTGCACATCTACCAGTCCTTTCTGAAATATCTGTCTCAGAAATGTCACAATAAACCTGTTGCCATGTGATGCTCCCCAAAACAGTCCTGTGATATTAAATTGCTTTTAGTCCATCATGTTCTAAAATTCATAGTGTCACTGAGTTCTACGAATTTCCTAGACGGCTATTATCCTATAATCTGCTTGCTGCATAGTTTTCCCTGGGTATAAAGTTTTATCTTTGCTTATTTCTTATCTTCAGCACTCCTAGCTGGGCAACACTTCTAGGTAATACTGAATCAGTATTGTCCATAACAAGTGACTAAAGGCAGCTCAACAGAAATGAACTATACCTCTTTATCAACATTTTATAGCACAGACATCCGAAAATGTAGGAAAATACCAATCTTCAGCTTGTTTCAACTGAGCTCAAACAAGACATAGTTTCTCACCTCCAGGATTATGAGGTAAAAATCACAACCCTGTGCTTAATGCTGTAGACCAGTGGTCGGCAAACTCATTAGTCAACAGAGCCAATTATCAACAATTCAGTGATTGAAACCTCTTTTAAGAGCCACATTTTTTAAACTTAAATTTTATAGGTAGGTATTTTGTTATTCACTTAATTAGGGTAATCTTTTGCTGGCTTTTACTTAGAACGTCTTCAGTCTGATCGATGTACACTCGCTGAGATCAACCATCTTCCATCTGCCCCATCCACACTTATCTTGCATACTTCTTTTATGTATCTTCTTATCTTCTTTCGTACATTGTTTCTATATATTCAAACCATCTTAACATACCTTTCTCAACACTATATCTATTTTCATTCCACAACACTCCCTAACAGTAACTTAAAATTTCAATTTTTAAATCTTAGTTAAACTATGTAGTTATGTCAAATAAAACTTGATATTGCACTTAATGGCAGTACTATTTATTGATAAAATTGTAAGGTATTCAAAAACTTAAATCGTGATAATGATGAACAAACACCAATGTAAACAATGGCCTTGTGTCTCCTTGGAAAGTTTATGTAACTCAGGTTTGTATTCTGTTGTTTTTAATTTTAAGCATGATTCTAGGTTCTCATCAATAAGATAACTTCTTAATTTACTTTTGATAGGGTTCATGCTTGCAAATGATTCTTCACATGAATATGTAGACCGGAATAAGGGAAAGAACAGCAAATGCTAGTTTTTTCAGCTGATTATATGACTCAGGAATACTATTCCATGTGCTAAAAATCAACATATCTTCCTTTTCCAGGTCTTTCAAAGCAGACCACTTATGCTGTGAATTAAGCATTTGGTTTTCTTCAATGTTTCTATATCAGTGCTAAAATGTTCATATTTCGAGCTCCATAATTCTTTGTTTTTTAAATCCAACAATTGGATTTCAAAGCTGCCAATGTCAGTATTAAAGTGAGAAAATTTTATTCTATTACAGTAGTATTAAGAGGTTTTTTTAACAAAGGCTAGCACCGCTTGGCTGTTTTTGAATTCTTGAAACCTGCTAAGAAAAACTTCTCTCATATTCAAAACTTGTTTAGAAATAGCAAATATCAATATAAGAATTATTTTTTTGGCGAGATTTCAACAGGCTTGGAAAGTGAATCAAAGTTTCTGTTTCAAAATCCTGAGCAAAAAGAGATAATTTATTTTCAACACACTTTTCAAAGAGATTTCTCCCCGAAAAGTGTGTTTATTAGTGTGTGCTTTAATTTCTGTCAATAAGGAGACTTTAATTTCAGTTAATAAGGAGATGTTTTCTCTTGATAACCAACGTACTTTGCTTTGCAGCAGAATATCTGCTTACTCGCTCTCCATTTCAATTAAAAATTCTTTAAATTGGCGATGATTAAGAGCTTTAGCTGGAGTTAATAATCTTAATCACCAATTCCATAACTTTGCAAATTTCTTCTGAAAATGTCTGCACACAAAGCACTTCTTGATGGATGATACAATGGTAAGTAAGTATCCAGTGATCGAATTTTTCTTTCAAAATAGTAACAAACCCGTTTTTTACATCATTCATACTTTATGCCCATCTATTGCAACTGAGACAGTTTTATTGAGTGGAATATGATGTTTTTTAATGCATTCAATTACAGCATTTGTTATATCCTCTCCATCTGTTTGACCTTTGAGTGGCAATAATCCTAGAAGTTCTTATTTGGGATGTGTAGATGAAATACATCATACAAAAGTGAAACTTGTACTTTATCATTTATGTGACAAGACTTGTCAACTGCTATTTCATAAAGCTGAAGCCAATTTAAAATGTTTGAAGACATTTTGACTGTTTTAACTTTCACTGTTTTAGCAGACAATGGTAACTCTTTAATTTTTTTAGGATATCTGCTTTGTTTTGAAATTAAAATAGCTCTTTGGATGCATTTATAAAAAAACTTTTTATGTATTCACCATCTGTATATGGTTTGCATCTTTTAGCAATCTCTTGACTAATCACAAAACTTGCAGTATTAACATTATTGGAAGATTGTAATACAGAACTTGATTTTTCTCGACTCTTCTGAAGTTCCTCAACTGCTTTCTTCCTTGCATAACCGACAGGATATTTAGTACTAAATTATATGTGTCTAGTTGTGAAGTGTCTCTCTACGTTTGATTTCTTGTTATTAGCCAGTTTGTCCTGACAAATGAGACAGGTTGGAAGACCATTTCAGTTTTGAATAAACATGGAAGTCTCGGTTCCTTCAGCTTGAAATTCATGGTGGATTTCATCATCCATTTTTCTTTGCTTCATCTTTTTAGCCATGTTGCTATGAGAAGGAATGAATAGGGCCAGAAATAGCAAAATGATTGAGGACCAGGAAACAGCAGTTAGGCAAGAAAACAACAGTATCCCGGGACATAAGGAAACAAGAAATGTGCGTTTACAGCCATGAATTTATTCCTGCCTTTTAAGTGGTTTTGAAATAAAACAGGGGGAACCTCTTGCATTAACCAATCTACAAAAAGTCTCTTGACTGACTGGTTTACAGAAGTAATAACACTCGCTCAACATTTGGATGAATTGCACGCACATCGCCAGAGATATGGGAGCCTCGGTTCTGGCTAAATGCACATTGTTATTCATGAGTGTCCATGTAGAGTTGTTAACTCAAAATAATACAACTAGCCGATTTTTGAACTAGTAGCTGAAGTGTGAAATAAGAAGATAAACAATTATACTGGTGATAGATCTTCAGTAGGATAGTGTAATAAATCACATAAAACAAGTGCTTTGCATCAAGGCAGGACACAATCGAATGTGGATGTTAGTATTATTCTTATCAGTACAATTGTACTAAAATCAGCACAATAGCCCATTTATCAATACATCGGAAATACACCGAATAATGTAAAAAGGAAATTTCGTGTCAACATATCTTGAGTTTTTTAGACATTCTAGTTAAAAGTTTTTTCATATTATATACCACCCAAACATCATCTATGCATTTCATGTTGCCTAAATTCAGTTGCTTGGAAAATTTTTGTTTCAGATGCTGGAAAAACTTTAAATTTGAAAGGTCTAGAAGCTAAAAATTGTAATATTTTGAAACTAAATTTCATTTTTATGTTATTTGGTTTCTCATTCAAGTTAAAATTGCCATTGAATGGTTATATTAATTCAAAGCA